TGGAGATATTGATGATGACTGGTTTGGAAACCGTGGGCTTGGACGGTTCGGCTGATTGACCTTGAGCTCGCGGACACGTCTTCAAGAATGCATTGATAACGATGAGGGCGCCTCTGACATTCGTCTCGAAGCATTGCCAATAATCATCGGGCTCCGATTCCGTAATGAGTGAGTGCCTATCCAGGTATCCTGCGTTGGAGACGAGCACATCGATTCTGCCTAATTTCTGAACAGTCTGCGAGAAGGCGTCGTCCATGGCCTTAGTCGAAGTAACATCAGCGCGAAAGATGAGACACTGGAAGCCCACGTTGTTTCGAGCTTTGGCTGCGCTCTCAATCTCTACCTTCGCACTGTCGAGCGTGGATTGGGTCCGGCCTGTTATGACGACTGCGCGTGCCTTGGCCTGTGCAAATGCGATTGCTGTTGCTTTGCCAATTCCAGTCGCCCCGCCGGTAATGAAAACAGCCTTTCCGTGGGCAGACAGAGAAGGCTCAAGAGGGTCAATCGTGGCGTAGGGCGAGTGATGCCATGTTTTGGTGAAGGAAGGAAACTTCGACATATTATATGAATGACACCAAACTCGAAAGATTTGGGATGCCTCTTTCTGAAACGCGTCAGGTCAAGTCGTGTCTTGTTGAGCAGGTGTACCGAAAGAACTGTCATGCCTCAAGCACTTGGAACATGTTGTGAGACGGGTACTTTGTTTTATACCCGAGCATGCGGATTAGTGGAACAGAAGGAGTGTCGTCCAGTTTATGTCGTGAGCTAGAGACTTCCAGAAAGGCATGTGTTTGTTGTATCAAATCCCGACGCACCTTGACGGTATCGCAAGGAGTTGAGGGCGCGAGAAAAATCAACGACAAAAGCTCTCCCGGTGATGCGGCCGAACCATTATGAGAGAGTAAGGTCCTGCACTCGCAGGCGAATTGTGATGCTCATTTCCGATTGGCACTGGGTTTGAACCATTGCGCTGATATCTTTGGGGTAGGTCGACACTCGGACGTGAGCCAATAAGCCAACCAGAGGAGTAAGCCAGCCTTGAACGGCCGAAGTCGGCCTCGTCTCCTGGAAAAGAAATAAATGATAGGCTATTTGTATCCTCTTGCTGTTGCTCGGCTGGCTGCAGGGATTTGATTATCAAGACCTCGAGACATTCCCCACCAAGAGCATCAGTTGACAAGGGAGCACCCGTAGAATCTTGGAAGATTAGGATTGATGGCATCAGCCAATATGTCGACTTCCCTGTACTCAAAGTTGGCTATATTTGGCCGGAATGGCTGATCCAGTGTTTCTCCGTCCTAGGAGGTGTAGGACAAGCGGAATATCAATATCCTTAGCCCAGACCATGGATGGAGTTGTGGCTATCTGTTTCGGGTGTTTGCAGGAATCGAAAACCCCCGGGTCATGAAATCGCCGTCTCGCCCGGCTTTCTCTTCTGATTTCTTGGTGTACAAAGAGCTGATGTTCTCGTTCTCACGCCGTCTTTTCTTCCTGGCTTCTTCCTCTTCCATGACTCGGGCAGTGAGGCTAGCGGTTGCGGCATTCTTTATGCCATTTGGCAAGGCTGGCGTGGAGCTTCCTGACTGGGCTGCTCCCGAGCGAGGCGGATTAGCTGGCATTGATCTCCCCTGTCCATCCGGCCCTATTGCTTGTGGTTCCAAAGTATTCTGGACTTGTGCCAACTTGCCGTCACCATTTGCCTTCCGCTTCTTGCTGCTGCCGGCTTTCTTCAAAGAATGTGAGAGTCCAAGAGACCTCAAAGTTTCTATCCGCTCCAATACAGACGTCCTGTCTTTCTCGCTACTCGGAAGAATTGGTATGACATCTCGTTCTTCGTACGGGGAGGCACACTGAACGCATTTCCCCTCGCTCTTCATCTCTTTGATGGCCTCTTGTGAGAAGGCATGGCCGCAGGGTACGAGGTAGACCGCCTTGACATTGGGACCCAGCTCCTTGGAAGTGATAGGGCAGATCCATCTGTCTGACTTAGTCTTTCCATCGTGTTCCGTTTCAAATTGCACTTCAACAACATCTTTCAGACTTGTAATGCGGCCTTGGATAAATTTCTCATACTCTTGCTTGTCCACCGAGCGGGCTTCAGCGGGCAGCAGAAACTGAATAATGGCATCCTTGTTGTAGAGGTCGCCTGCATAGTCTGAGACGATAGGCTTGATGAGAGGTTTGTGAGAGACTGGACAGGTGGACCAACGATGGGCAAGGTACTCTTTTTGCTTGTCTTTCAGTTCGGTTGCGGTTGGGTTTCGCGCGGCTTCCTTAACGAGCTCACGTCGCGTGGGGATACTGTCAACTGTTAGTAAATATATCAAAGTCTCAGGGAGACAAAGACTCGACTTACCTTCCTCCGTCATTCCCCATGATGCTCGGATTAAATCTGTGTGAATGATCTGAGCGGTGAAATCGCGTTGAAAGGTGCAGAGATGGGCAGCCTTGTGTACAAAGGTAGTGGGTGGCGACAATTTCTCCGCAGCCCAGGTGGCCTCTGCCCCCTCACTCCACGCTCTATGCCGAGTAGCTTGGGCTCTTTGGGCTCACTAGGCTCTCCCCCAAGCTCGCTCGGGATGTCCCACCCGCCTCGCCACCGAATTCCCTCCAGACACGGCCACAACCACAAACAGGCCAGTGCATGGTTGCCAATTCGCTCGCTTTACCGAGTATGGCCTTTATGACATGGGCTCTAGAAATATGCCTTGAGTCTCTCCTTTCGTCTCTCCCTTCATTGGGTGATTCACCAGCTTTCAGCTTAAAAATGAATGCACAACAACAGCTACAAGCGGACCTGGCCATCACTCCCAAAACAGCCAGCCTCTTGATCCGTCTCGGCTATGCATCCTATCGCGACCTTCGCGGTGCATCACCTAATCATGTGGTTGCACAACTCAAGGCACTCCCAGACATGACTCACTCGCAGGCAGAACAATACCGACGGGGTTTAAGAAGAATGGTTTGGCTTGCGACTCAGGATAACCCTCGGGAGCAAGCTAAGTTATATCCGAATTGGACTCAGAGCGCTCTTAAAGCGCGTGGTATGTGGAGGGACGATGTCGACTTCGACGGGCTTAGTGGAGATGAAGTCAACCAACTCCATCGTGACGCGAATGGCTAAAGAGTTTTCATGAGGCTAGTGGTGAAGCGTCCTCCCTGCAACGGGATAATGACGTGACAAGTCTCTGGCATTGTCCATTCTCTGATCGAGGGCGACTATCTCTGTCTTAACGGACTTTTGACCGACAACTGCCGAACTTATCAACCATCCAACTGAAGGTATAAAGAGCCTCGATGCTGCTCACCAGAATTTATCTTGCCCAAACAATTCGGATACAACACATCCTACGATCCGCAATTTCTAAAACACATTATAGTCAACCGTCCAACAATATGAGGGTTTTACTGACAGGTGGATCCGGCTTTATCGCCGCCCACTGTGTCGATTACCTCCTTCAACACGGCCACTCGGTCGTCTTCACCGTGCGCTCCCCTGAAAAAGGTCAAAAAATCCTGAGCAACCACCCGAGTCAACCAAAGGATAAACTCAGCTACGTGATCGTTGAGGATATCGCCCAAGAAAACGCCTTCGATGAGGCCGTCAAGTCTGATCCTCCCTTCGAGGGCGTTTTGCACACCGCTTCCCCATTCCACTTCAACGTCACGGATCCCAAGAAAGATCTATTGGATCCGGCCATCATTGGTACTACTGGAATTCTCAACGCTATCAAAAAATATGCGCCCACCGTCAAGCGGGTGGTCATCACCAGTTCCTTTGCAGCCATAATAAACCCCAAATCGCACGAGAAAATCTACAGCGAGAAAAACTGGAACCCGGTCACCGAAGAAGAAGCCACGCAGGACCCCGCGACCACATACCGCGCGTCGAAGACGTTTGCTGAGCGCGCCGCGTGGGAGTTTGTCGAGAAAGAAAAACCAAACTTCGACATTGCTACTATCAATCCACCACTAGTCCTTGGTCCAGTCGTGCACTACCTCAACTCTCTTGACACCATTAACACTTCAAATGAACGAATCAGAAACATGATCCAAGGTCGCACGAAGGATACCGGTCTCCCTCCAACAGGCACCTTCATCTGGGTCGACGTTCGCGATGTCGCCCTTGCTCATGTCAAAGCTCTGGAAATCCCCGAGGCCGGTGGTAAACGGTTCTTCTGCACGGCAGGCCAGTATTCCAACGCCGGCATCGCTCAGATTATCAAGAAGAACTTCCCAGACCTGGCCAGCAAGCTGCCAGATAAACTTGAGAGTGATATGCCACAGGATATCTATGGGTATGATAACTCGACATCGAAGGAAGTGTTGGGATTGAAGTACCGAAGTTTGGAGGAGAGTGTTGTGGATACTGTGAAATCACTGCTCGAAGTCGGTGCATGAAGCTGCACCCTCAGCCACTGATCCGAGCGGGAGAGATGCTTGATTTCTCGGAGGACGCATTTAGTCAGGAGATGGTCGTCTCAGACGATGGACGCTTGCGCAGGAAGGATCATGTTCGCTGCGTTCGGAGAGCAATTGCAACGGAACCGAAGAAGGGCACGCGCTAACTAACTAGACGGCGGTCCGCATAGATGGCAGGGGTCAGGGGTTACGGGAAACAAGAAGGCCAATATATTATAGAACTGGTATCCCCTCCGCTAGAGCGAAGACCGACTGATTGAATTAGAAAGAACGTGCTTCCCCTAAACTGAACCCCGCTACCGGTGACCCAGAGACCCAAGTATAATTCTATCCCGCAGTCCTTGAATGCGAAATCGCACCTTTACTTGGTTTCTATGTTGGTTTTGTCGTAGATTGCTCCTGTGTATTGAAGAAGGCCAGAGGAAAGATGGTTTCGCGTTCGTCCTGAAAGCCATTAAGTCGCCCGAACGCCCAGCAGTCCATGTCTCTTTGGATTCTGCTAAGCTCCCGGGGCAGCACGAGGCTTGGCTTGATGTCAGTAGATGCAAGACGCAAGGGATCCTCCTCAGGTTCATCTCTCACGATGCCATACGGCTCGGCTGCGGCGAACTGTTGACGCTGTCGCCGTGTGGCCCTGTTTCGTTCTTGCTTCTCTCACTTCCCTCCAGGCCGCTCCGACTCTCGTCTTTCTCCTCGTTCTCAATCCGATTCTCGGCATCGTTATTCTTCTTCTCTTTCTTCGTTTCTGCCTTTGTCTTCCCCAGTCCCAAACTCGTCACAAAGGCACAAACTCCACATATCACAGCGAGGTAGAATGTCCTTGTAACCGCCTGGTTGTACGCTAGAAGCACACCACTTCTTGTATCGGCATTGTTAGCCCCAGCTGAGAGCTTGGCGAGGGAATTCGTTGCACTGGTGTTAATGACATCTTGTGCATTTATATTGGGTGCATGAGTGCGCAACGCTGGGCGAAGCAAGGTGAGAAAGGTGATTTGGCTAAGGCTGATGAACAGGGCTGCGCCGAACGTCTGTGAGTATGCCACGGTGGCGGTTGCGATTGGAATCATGGCAGGTAAAACGATGGACTGAACCGCTTGGACCGGTTGTTGCATTGACAAGCCCATCCGACTCCGTTGAGGATCAGGTATCCGATGTATTTCCCCGCGTCAGCATCCGTGGTGAGTGCGCTGGTTAGCCCTGCTGAGATTGTAACAAAGATAGAACCCGTGGCTGCGAGTGGCGTAAGATAGCCGAACCAAGATGTTAGTGCTCCGGCGAGGATCGCACTGAAGATTTGCAACCCGAATGTTGGGAGGATGTACACTGCACTCACTGTTGGGCTAACTGATTTGATCACTTGGAACCAGAGCGGTAGGTAATAGACGTATACCAATATGCATCCTAACTGTAATGCAGCGTTGATCAAACTGCTGTAAATGATTCACTTCTGTATTAGCGGTATTGGAACCATGGCGGAATCTCCCTGGCGATACTCCCAAATGAAGAAGACTATGAATGTCCCTGAAGACCTGCATAAGAGTCCGATGATTGTGGCGGACGACCATGAGTGCGTCGTTCCACCCCATTCCAAAGCGAGTAGAAGCATAATGCATGCTGGTGCGAAAAGAACAAATCCGGTGATGTCAAAGTCGTGAACCACATCCCAGGATGTCCAGTTTACCCTGCGAGCCTTGTATGCCGGAAAACGGGGGGAACATCATCGCCACTATGGTCACGCGCCGATGGGAAGGTTGATCCAGAAACACCAACGCCATGATGCATGTTCAGTTAAGGTACCGCCGACCAACGGGCCGAGGAGTTGTCCAGCACCGGCGACTGCACGCCCCACTACCAGCATAGTGCTAGACGAGGCAACAGCACATATTGTAACAAGGGAAAGTGGCTGTGCTGTGCTGTGCAGGGGTGGTAGAGTGGTAGCCAGGGGGGAGAAGTTGTCTAGTCACTTGTCAAACCAAAATGGGCTGGCAAGGGGAGTGTGGAACAGTTTACAGTGCTGGCCGAGTGCCATTCTTTACAAGAATTAGAGAGAGTATCAGTATTCCATGCTTTTGATGCCGTCTACCTATTCCTGAGTTTTTCATCGGCCCGTTCCTACTTCTCAATGTCGTCGCCGTGCTAGGCGCTCGCTGCCCTAGCTGCTGCCTCTCTGGGGGTGGTGGTGGTGGTGGTGGTGGTGGTGTTGCCCTGTCAGTGTCAACCAGAAACGCGTCCTCGATTCCCGATCTGCTGGACAGGCCTCTGTGCGTTGTTGCACGTGCACGCCGAACCCTGAAGTGCTCTGTTACAATATCATGGAGCTAAATTCGAGGACGGCGACAAAAACAAGGAAGGCGCTCTTGAGAGGGAAGTATGTAAACACTTTTCCGGCAAGAGGCTGTAACGATGCATTTGTGATCATCTATGCCGCAGGATACCAGCCAGCTGCCAACATCTGTTAGTTTGTCTTGAAATTACCACACATTTGAAAACAACCCTTGGAGAATGTTGTTTCGTTTCCCGAACGAAGGGGAACTCACTGCCCGCGATGGTATGGAAGTGATTTGTGATTTGGGGGATGGCAGTTGCAAGAATGGAGGCATCGAGAGTGACGAGTAGGATGGCGAGCAGAAGGGAGCCATCCAGAGTTGTGAGAGATCGTGGACCCAAATATTGGTTGCCTTCGTCTCCTTTCGTGGAGGATGGCTGAAGCGAGTCTGCATTTTCGCGTGACCCACTAAGTAGAGTGGAAACAGATCTCAGGACGGGGAGCGATTCATGGGTTGAGGCGGCGGCCTGTTTCCTCATGTTGACCAATGCTGTGTTCCTTACGCCTTTCGGCTTGATCGAAAATAGCGCTGGCAGTAATGAAGGTGAGGGTCTGAAAAGTATTGCAACTCGATGTTTATATTGGCCCACATCTGTGTCCAAGGGTCGTGACTCAACGCCCCCCTTCTTTACCCTCCGTATCCAGTCCCCACCCCGCTCAATAGAGATAGGATTGACTTTAACGTAGCCGGCTGGAGTTGGCCTCGAAGTGATGCTTGTATTCATAAAAGCCGTACTAGCGGGTGTCGTTGCTCTCCATGCCGCTAAAATTGCATATTGGCATTCCAATCAGCCGTGAGGTCTGGCCAGATGCTGTCCTCGAAGCCCTCGAACAACTCCTCCATCGAGATGCTATCCGGAAGTGCACTAGTGTCAAGACCTGGAGTTGGGTGGTCGGCTTCTGCTTTGAGCTTGTTCGCGTACAATTTCTTGCAAAGGCACATCTTCTCTGCGAATAGACTGAAGCGCACTGCAACTGCATGACTTGCCGCCAAATCTCCAGGTGCAAGGCTCTGTTGCGATATCGTTTCCAGTTTCTGCACCATGCGGTCTACGGTGGACGGAAAGTTCATTTTCGAACTCCTTATCGATCGCAAATCCCATCCATCAAGGAAAAGGAATGACATCTTGGCTAGAACAACCAACAGATGAACGACATGGAGCCAGAACAAGAAAGTCAAGTTTGGCAGATACCGCCAAGGGACATCGTCTAGGCTGTCAAACAATTCACTAATATGATTCAAATAAGAATGCAATGCTTCGGCTCGGTGATACGCTATGTCCGCCTTGACTGCGAATAAGCGCTTTGAATCTGCATCTCCAGGAGTTTGTTTTCGGCAATACTGGGAGGCAAGCTCCTTTGATATTGCTGGAGATCTCTTTTAAAACAAGTCATGAAACTTCGTATAGGTACAGTCGATGTCGCCATCAGGCTGAGAGAGGAAGAATATATCTCTATGACCCGATGCAGTCGGACCAACTGAACAGCATAGGTATCGGAGGGATACTCTGCTGCGTCGGTGAGAGCATTGCAACAGTCTTCCAAATATTGCGTCCAGCGCATTGGATCTGATTTCCGAAGGCACGAAGATAACTGTCCCGAAAGATTATAGACTCCGAGATGGGCTCGTCGGTCGTCAGAGGTCTGGATGCCTTGGTTGACTAATCTGCCGTGAAACATCTGGGCTGCATCAACCACTATGCCGATCGGGGCCAGCACTGCGGGCTGCCAAGTCGATTTAGCCCTAGGTCAGTGGCCATGGCAGTCGCCAAATGTAAAAGGTTTATCACCTTGGGATTGTTTTGATTGTAGCACTGGTACCAGGTGCTGAATACCAATAGCCCTAGCAAGAGATCAATGGACTTCTCTCCTTTCATCAACCTGCGATCTCCGATGTATCTCATCAAGTCGTCCGCCATTTGTCGTAGTAGCGATGGGTCTGCTTGAGCAGCGGCCGTGATGCAAGTCCAGAAGAGGAACGGTTTCTCTTCACGAAGAGCAGCAGCTGTTGCCTTGGGTGGAATCACCACAAAAGGGAATTGTATGTTCATCTGTGTACCGAAATCACTCAGTAGCTTTTCTTCCAACACTGGAGCCAAGCTGACTCGAAAATGGCCGCGTGTATTGGAACCAGCGGGTTCCTCTGTTTTACTCGACCTTGAACAGAACGTTGATTCACCGACAACGGATTCCCTCTGTATAGGGTCGTTGTCGTTACTTTCACCAGGAACCGTCATTGACGTTGGAAGAACCAAGAGCGAGGCAGACCATAGTCCATTGGGCAAGCCAGCGACACTTTCCGGAACAACAGTAGGACTAGGCTGAGAATACTGGGCACAACCAGTTTGAGCAGAAACAAGGTCAGCCCGTGCATTTGCGCTCAAACCGCCGCTATTCAACCTCAAGAGATCAGTCAGAGTGTTGATCTTTTCCTCCAACTGTGAAACCCGGGTCAGTTTCCCATTATTGCGCCGCTTGCGTGGAAGCAGTGCCGGGGTGGTGCATGGTTTGCCCAAGGGGTGACATCTAACGCAGATCGAGTTGCTAGATCCTTCCACTGGAACGCATTTCGCTTCGATCTGAACACAGTGGCGACATGCCTGGTGTGCCCGCAGCCCGGGGGTATCATCAGGATCTGGAAGTGCCGGAGGTTTGGCAGTGGCCGACATCGTAGGAATAATGATTGAACTGTGTCTGAGGTAGTGTTGTCGTTCTTGACATTGGCGAGCATTGGAGGGCAAGGGAAAGTCAGAAGAGGGAGCGTTTCATTTGCCCTTCCTGTCCTCTGACTTTCGTATCCATATGCTGTCATTGACGCAACACAATGGATATTGGCTCGAGCCCATTTTCATTTGCCTTAGATGGCAGCAGAAGACCAGAATGCTTGGGATCAAAGCTGTTCAACTTGTCGGTTTCGTGGGAATTACGAGTTCTTCGGCTCTCTGGAGTCCATCTCCCCGTGTCCGGTCCCTACACTCCAGAGTAACGCTTTCACATTGCAGATCGACATGGCCTGATCAGATCTCTAGCCACAAGCAATTGTGACTGTTTCTCATTCTCCTTCCTCCGCGATCTGATTCCGCGTCGTGATTTATCCAAAGTAGTCATTGGCGTTTGAACTGTAGCTGATGGCAGAGACGAGGGCGTCTCCGCATGCGAGGGATGTGGCACTCGGTGGTCTGACAACACAGGCACATCGCTCCAGAGTGAATCGTAAGGGTTCTCGATAGCGCGAAAAAAGCCTGAATGATGGCATGTCTTTCAAGATAGCATTCGATCGTGGTCGATTAAAATGGGTTTCCAGCTAGGGAAGATGCATCATCCTGAAGCTGCGGCAGGAAAATACCAGTGTCTGGACTGCTTTCAAACGACCAAAACGACCTAGAGCAAAAGTAGATAATGTGCAGGTCTCTCCCATTTGTGTGAAATTGGACCTAAATGATGCCGGTCGCGGTCACCGAAGGAAGGGCCTGCAAGAAATACTATGTAAATCCAAACCCTCGCCTCTGGTAGACTTATTTCGCTGTCAGCATATCCCATCTACTTCACGACATCACGAGATATAAAACTGACCATCTCCGTTCGAAGGCCATTGCACATTTCTAATGCCCTGACATTCATCTTATTGACCACTTTTGGCCATGGATACATACTTTCGTTGTCTAATTGTTCGAACGTCGGCCATTCCTAGCCATATTCATTTACAAGGAGATGAAGACAGACTTCAACTCAGTCCAATAATCTGTCGAATACTTGCTCAATTCACGTCCATCACCACTCTGCTTGAAGCCACCAAACGGCATGTCAATGGCCATAGTCGGGCTCGTGCAGTTGACGCCCACTGATCCAGCCTCGAGAGCCTTGGCCACACGCAAAGCCCGGGAGATATCCTTGGTGAAAACACTCGCGTACAGTCCATATTCGGTGTCATTGGCGCGCTTCAGCACCTCCTCTTCGTCCGTGAAAGTGTTGATGCACACGACAGGTCCGAAGATTTCCTCCTTCATGACCTTGGAGTCCTCAGGAGCGTTGGCTATGATGGTAGGTTCAATGAAGTAACCGGTTGTGCCTTCTCGGCCGCCACCGATAGGCATCTCGAGGCCGTGCTCCTTGGCATAGTTTAGGTAGCCCATCACGCGGTCGAATTGGATCTTGTCAGCCTGGGGTCCTCGTCTGGTACCAGCGACCGTGGCATCGCCTGACGTACCCATCTGGACCATGGCGGTCTTCATTGCTTCCATAAATTTATCAGCAATGTTGGCATGTACGTACACCCTCGAGCTGGCGATGCAAGCTTGGCCGGAATTGGCGAGGATAGAGAAAGCAGAAGCCGGGACGGCCTTGGCCAGGTCGGCGTCGTCGAAGATGATCAACGGGCTCTTGCCACCCAATTCCAGAGTGACGTTCTTGAGGTTGGATTCGGCGGCAGCTTTCTTGACAGCTCGTCCAGCGATGACGGAGCCTGTGAAGGAGACCTTTCGAATGTCCATGTGCTTGGCAATAGCCTCACCACAAGGTCTTCCGTAACCGCTGAGAATGTTCAAGACACCCTTGGGGAGACCAATTTCCTGGCAGAGCCTACCGATGACAAGGGAGGAAAGAGGTGATTTCTCGGAGGATTTGAGGACCAGGGTGTTGCCAGTAGAAAGAGCAGGGCCGACCTTGTTGATTAGCATGAGGAGAGGCACGTTCCACGGAATAATGGCACCGCAGACACCAAAAGGTTGTCGGAAAGTGATATTGACCATGTCCTTGGTATTCAGGGACGAGTCTCCTTGGACATCAAGAGCTCTGCTAGCAAAGTATCTCAGAATCTGAACACCGACGTGGCCAAAGACTGGACAAGGGTCAATGATCCAAATGATGCAGAAGAATTTGAGGACTCACAGTCGCCAATGTAGGGCTTGCCCATGCTGATGGCTTCCAGGTAACCAATTTCCTCCAGGTTCTTCTCGATGGCATCGGCCAACTTTTCAATATATCCTTGTCTCTCTGCAGCAGAAAGGGCAGACCAAGCAGGGAAAGCAGCCTGAGCTGCCTTTACGGCCTCGTCGACATCCTCAGCGCCAGCTTCATATACTGATGCTGCGAACTTCTCGTTGTTGGGGTTGATGATGTCGAACTTCTTCCCCGACTTCGAAGGAACGAACTCGCCATTGATGAAGAGACGGTCTTCAATGTGCTTTGGCTTGTATCCCTGGGTGGGAGTATCGGTGGTTGCTGATGGGGCCATCTTTTGGGTCGACTATGTGAATTTGAGGCTTTTTGCACGGAACAGATCTTGATCAGCGTTGACTTCACAGAAAAAAGTGTTGAAGAGCGGCTGAGCCACAAGGGTAACGATGGTTTTATATCCTCGAAGCAGCCCCGCAGACTCGAGGTAAGCTTCGTCTGAAATACTTGCACAACAAAGCAACCCAAAGCCACGAGCACCAGTCAACGATCACGCATACGACTCTAGTACGGATTGGATTCAGCAACCATATCGATTCGTCAGGCCGGCGGCATCGCTTTCAAGCGTCTTGGGTTTGGATTAAACTCCGCCGAGCCCGACCGTGGCAAATCAACAGATTGGATACCCGTCGCGCCCTCCTGGCACTTTGTTTACGGGTCAATCGTGGTGGGGTTCCGCCGAGCTGGAGATACGAATGCATCACAGTGTTGCATGACTCTAATTCCGCTACCCCACCAACATGCTCATTTTGGATAGCGGAGTCAGCAAATATTTCATACGAGCTGCCCAAACTCTCGCAGATGGAAAAAGGTTGTTCTGAGCAAGGTGTGGAACGATCCCTGTCGAGTAAGCAGTAGCGCAACATGGGGGGCCTGACGAGGCTTTGGAGTTGTGCTCGGTGCTTGCAACTTTTGCAACTGGAACAATCAAGGTCGTATCAGCAAATGACTGATCCTTTTGAGTCGTGAGTGCCACGGACCAACACCTATTGAGTGGGATAGGGGGACCAGAATCTGTGGCACTATCGACCATCGTTTACGATTCACGGTCGCTTTCTGTGCTCTCTTTCCACGACATTGGTCAGAGTCAAGGCAGTCTCTAAAAAGTACATCGCGAAGTACTCCGTCACCCGTCCCCCGTCCCCCGTCCCCGGATAGGTACATATCTCAATCCTGGATTACTTTAGTCCCCCAGTGATCGAGTTACTTAACCATGGCATTTACCTACCTAATAGCTACCGGTAGGTACGCGGTATGCAGGTAAAAGACAGTTAGTGGCATTTATCTAAACGGACCCTGTCACTCCGGATCGTTCATGCCGAGTATCGCCACAGCTGACAGATTCTTCTGCAGAGATTACTTGATGCACATCTCGCCTTCGTTCTGCTTGGGATTGATCAAACAGTACGGGTGTAATATTGCTCGTACTTTCGTGCAGCGTCACATGCAATTCGCCTTCTTGCCAACAACGATATTACATCGCACAGCCACCGGTATGCTAGGTAATCAGTGCGTGGAGGCGGAGGCGGAGGGCAGAGGCGATGGAACCCTTTGCCAGGAACGACTGGAATAGCTGGATATGGCAACTGCCATCCGAAACCAAGTCGCCATTCATTTTCTTTCTGCGCGCCCGAGCCTGTGTCGGTAGACTGGATTGATTCTTCGAAGCTCCAAGGGAAATGGATCCCGCTATACATAGTATGAGGCCTGAACGTGCCATCGTGTGCTGCAAGTATCTGTTTGGTTCTCGGGTCAGGCTTGGCCTAGATCCTTCGACACATGCGGTGTGCGAGTTACCCGCAAAGGTAGCGCGTCTATTTAATGACGCACCTTCAGCGGTCGATGCTACGAGACTGTGTTCCCAGCTAAGCAGAGCGCTTGTCCAGACCCAGCCCTCTTGGTCATCAAGCGCTGTTTCTGAAGTGACAGGCTTCGAATCCCGGGTCCATGTTCCGAGTCAAAGGGTTGAGGGTTTGCTAACATTAGAATATTGTCTACTATGCGCTCCATAAAAGGTGGAGGCAATTCCGCTGAAACGCTTTCGAAACGTTCCTACCTACGAAAAAAGAAGTCTTTAAATCCGAGATTGCCCGGAGTTAGTGGACTGGGGCAAACACGGCCCTCACGTCAGCTCAAAGCGTGAACTCTCGAGACAAGTAATAGGTAGGGGTGAGGTAGTGGACTCGGTACACGCAAGCGCAATGCTATGCAATCTGGAACCTAGGAGACACGATGGTCGAATGGTAGTACGAGTAGCCGAACACCCTGCTGCGGGTAGTGTCTTGGTTGGTCACCGATGGCCTTGCCTTCGTCTAACCTATCCTTTAGTCTGTTAGACCACTCCCCGATTGTACGGAGTACTATACAACGAGCCTCGTGCTCCCCTCTCTTGAATCTGGTCCCCCTCTTTCCGGATTTATGAGTGCGTCCATTCAGCTTTTTTCTTTTCCGCAAATGCCTTCATGCCGATCTTCTGATCTTGACTGCCGAACAGACTGTGGAAGATGCGTCGTTCGTATTCGACACCCTCTCTAACCCCCAGGTCTTGACTCTTATTGACGACCTCTTTGGCCGCAATAACTGCCACGCGACTGTAACTGGCGATCTTTTCAGCCGTATTTAGAGCACCCTCAAGAACCTCTTTGTTACCTCCATCGAAGGCTTTGGCAGCGAGACCATGTTTCTCGGCCTCCTCGCCGCTGAAGTTATTGCCTGTGAGAATGAGTTCCATGGCTTTGCTCTTCCCAATGGCTGCGGTGAGCCGCTGAGAACCTCCGGCACCCGGTATGGTGCCGAGCTTGATCTCAGGCTGGCCAAAGTTTGCAGTCTTCGTGCAATAAAGGATATCGCACATCATAGCAAGCTCGCAACCGCCGCCAAGAGCATGCCCCGATACTGCTGCTATGACCGGTTTTCGCAGAGTCATCATGTAGGACCAGGGAGCAATAAAGTTGTTGACATATGCGTCGGAGAAGGTCAAGGGGGCCATTTCTTTGATATCCGCGCCAGCTATTCACAGTCTATCAGTCCGAATGTTCTATTAGAGATACTTATTGCGGTTACCTGCAAATGCTTTGTCGCTTCCAGTCAGAACAATCGCACCAATGTCCTTGTCCTCCTCGTATTTCTTCAGGGCATCGTTGAGTTCGACAAATAGAGCGCTGGAGAGGGCGTTCAATGCCTTCGGACGATTGATTGTGACTGGAACTGTCAGAAGCAACTCTCTCACGGATGCATATTTAGATCAAGGCGTACTGAGTCCAACACCTTGCCGAGGCGTCGACAACAGGATGTTTTCATAGCTGCTTGAAGAGGATTGAAATCGGACCAGCCGTGGAAGGGATCGTGGTGCAGCCGAGAGCGTGGCTAAAGGCTGCGAGAATAGCCTGAGAGAAGCCATTATTGATATTGCAGCTAGTGAATATCAAAGAGATCACAAAGATCTCACAAATCATGGCTTTGCATGCTAGGAATGGAGCATTGAAGAGCTTCTCACAACGCGCCGACAACAACCGCAGTGGCTTGCAGTTGTCCTCGGCTGCGTCTCTGCGGGCTGAACGACTCCCGACGATTCGCCGCAACGGAGGAGCGGGAGCGGAATAAATAATAATCCGTTGCTCTCCCTCTCCTACTGAGTACTTGTACTGTACCGGGTAGTCCCACTGTATGAGGCGCTGTTTGCCTGCGATCTGGATCCTCCGCTCCGACAATTCGTGGAAGGCTGCCACGAGCGAAAATCACGACGTGGCTTCAACAACAGGACTCCTGGCCCTCAAAACTTTCACCACACAACACACTACTTGTCGCCTAAAATCGCCTTTACTTGCGCGAGGTCTTCTTTTCTTGATGCACTGACAGTGTTCATCTGTGCGCGTCTATCTCATACGTTATCCCTTGCAGCCCCGAAGCGCATGCGCCGGCCCTATATCTCCTCGTCGCTCCCAACAAGCGCTGCCACCATGGATGGGCCTGAGCCGGAAACGACTCCCTTCGACGCAATAAGTACACAGAGCAACAAGCTGCTGAGGGTATGAAAAAAAGAGAAATAACTCTCGGGCAAGAAGATTCAGCGATTAGGCTAACAACGATCTTGCACAGCAATACCAAACTTACCTCGACAAATCAACCCCCTATGTCGCCTACCGATGGTCGGCCACCGCCGTCCTCCTCCTGCTCTTCTTTCTTCGCATCGTCGTCGCTCAGGGCTGGTACATTGTCGCCTACTGTCTGGGCATTTACCTCCTCAATCTCTTCCTCGCGTTCCTTCAGCCGAAATTTGATCCCAGCCTGTCGCAGGACGAGGGTCTTGAAGATGGCGAGGGCTCATCTCTGCCCACCAAGCATGACGACGAATTCAGGCCATTCATTAGGAGGCTTCCAGAGTTCAAGTTTTGGCATTCTGCGACAAGAGCCATCACAATCAGCTTTTTCTGCAGCTGGTTCGAAATCTTCAATCTCCCGGTCTTTTGGCCTGTGCTCGTCATGTACTGGCTGATTCTCTTCTCCCTGACTAGTGAGTCAATCAATCTTTGTTACTCGAACGTGATCGCTGACCATTCTCCAAAGTGAGACGGCAGATTCAACATATGATCAAGTACCGCTACGTACCTTTTTCTTTTGGGAAGGCTAAATACCCGGGCAAATCATGAATGGCCACTTCTTCGGCTGGATGGTATCTTTGCGTTTCCTTCCCAACTAAATAAAGATTCACAGATGGGTCTAAGTACTATGGGAGATAGATGCAGCAGGAATGCACAGTGCAGAGTCAACATTTTCTGCAACCGCGTCCCGGACCTTCAACAACAAATGCCCTCTCGGCGACTTGTCCCATTCAGCGACCGGGACGAGCGGGAGATGAGTGTCACGAATAGATTTACCTGAAATTAGCCGATACGCATCGCCCTTGCCATTCTTTGCATCGGTTGAGCCAGAAGGATCTCCTTGTGTCTCTGTCGTTTCTATCCAAGCTCTTTAGGTCGGGCGGTTAACCACCTTGGGCTGCAACAACAGTCTCAACTGCTTCTCTCCGTTCTTTTATTCAACCCTACTCATGCTCGCATCTCTCATTCTCGATACGCAAGATTCTCTGACGCATTTGCTTATCATTTATGCCTAAATGAGGCAGTCATTAAAGAGTCCTTGATCATTATTTCCCCTACCCACCAAGCTCTGACGAAAGGTCATCACTGTCCTGCCACAATTCTCGTCAGAGCCCAGCTCAAGCTATGGACCACCTCATCTCATCGCCCGGATCCTTGGCGCCGTTAGGGTATGCTCTGAACACTGAAGGCTACCTCAATCGTCTCATCGATGGCCAGCAATATGTCAGGTACGCCCTTACTCCTTTGCGAATTCTATGACATGTGACCGCTCGAGCTCCACCATTGAGTTGAATGATGGCTCGACCTTGCCCACCACACTGGTCCTATACCGTCTTCCACCTACCCTGGATCATCAGAACTATGGGGGTGCTCAGCCAACACCATTGGTAAGGCCAAGCGCTCTCCACGTTCCCTAACCCCATCCTTGCATTTCACACTCTAGTCAAAGCAACCTTATCGAGGTCCAGTCGCTAATCTGACCTGAAGGGTATCGACCAAGCAGCGTTGTTATTGTTTTCCGACCCCTCTGACTCCTCCGACTCGTCGTCTAAAAGACCATCCCCATCCGGACTCGGAGCCCTTTCTCGATTTCTTCCTTTCCGTCGTCTTTTGTTGGGTTCGCTCTCTGAAGGGTCGTTGTATTCCATTCAAAAAGCCACGGAGGTCTACGTGCCCAGGCCCCTCTTCCATGACTCTGACATGTCAATCCTGCTCACTTCCAACTGGGGGAATATGCGGCCGCTTTCACTCATCTTCGGCAAATTATTTGACCGAAATACACAAAATCGTCTAAGCTCAGCGGATCGTTCTGCAATTCGAGAAATGTTTGCGTCTCCTCGAATCATTGGACCGTTCTTCAAGGTGCTAGGTGCGAGATTGGGCAGATTCCTTGCCAGAATGCATGATCCAGAAACCACAAAACGACTACAACTGTCCAGCAATCCTCCATTACCCACGAATTTTGCCTCTAAAGAAGCCGGGAAACAAAGGCTCTTTGGAGAGATTGTGAAATGGCGAAACAATGTCCAACATATGGACATTTTCATTAACTCTCCAGACTCATTGGAAGGTCTCTTCAGGATACTCAATGATGATGTCGACCGGCAACATTTTCCGGACTATTAGTGCTTCAGTCATGGTAATTGCACTTTCGACAACATCCTAGCAACCTTAACACCGGGTGAAGCGATTAAGTCCTTTGGGATAGCCTTCTGGGAGCACGCGGGATTCTGCGGAAGAGGGGTAAATGGTGACATCGCACAACTATTTGCAGAGCTTGAAGCTTATCGGATTGCGGCCTGGTACCAAGACACTTTGGCCCGCGGGATGCAATCCCTTGCCGTCCTCTATGGGGTGGCGCTCTGTGGTCTTCTGGACAATCTGCTCAGCCAGTACAAGCGTGAGAGCAAGTGGCTGCAAATGGCTCAGAGACACAACCGCGTGCAAAAGTGGTGGAAGAAGACCGTAGGAACCGAAAAGCCTCATGTTTTCTCTCCGAAAGCAGTTGAACGGTCGATTTATTTGGCTCACGGCCTGTACCTCATCAATGCGGCCTTCGAGAAACCATGGTTCTGCGAAAACAGTCGATGCCCTCGTGTCAACGGGCGTCACACCGAGGACAAACAGGACTGTGGCCTTGTGCGTTACATATTCTACTGTAGTCTCGAGGTTCTCTACCTTGCGGAGGAAAATGAGGAGAAGTTCAACCGTGTCAATGTCAGAACAGAGATGCGACTTTTCAGGCCGTTCCATGCCGGTTGGCATCCACGAGTCACGGAGCTTTTCCATGAGACATACGACGCGTGGCGTGGTTCTATGACCCCTTGAAGTTATTTCTGATCGATGTATGCCATTTCTATAGTTTCCTGTCGTTCCAAGATATAATTGGCATCTGGCCAGCAGAATCTCCAGATTTCTTTCTCTTTGTCGCAGCCTTGAAACCCGAACACGGCTGGCATCGTAGCGTTCTAGGGAACAAGCGGCACAGATCGAGCAGAAGCTGATGGTGATCAGGGTATATCGGACATTGTATGTAGTAAGCTACACGGGCTACACAGCCTTGTGCCTTGTGCATCTGAAGGGCGAACTGCCCAATGGCTAGAGCCATGAACTCAAAAGGGGACAAAAGACACCATCGGTATATATCCTTCCATATATCTGCGTCACCGATTATGCCAACTCTCCATTGCAAGGTCTCTTTATCCTCGGGTTTCATTTCCTCATCTTCAATGGCCTCCAAGACTCCAGGAATAAAACCCCTCTCGGTTTAAGCTTGGATTTCTCATTTTTCTCATAGGGGACATGGGCATATTTCGAGCGTGACAGCGTTCTGCAAAAGATCACTATAGTGTCTGAGACTCAGAAGGTCGTCGAGCAGATCCAATACCCTTGTTCTGCAATGCACGCTTCCACTATCTTACCTCGATTATCTTCCTCTTTACACTAAATGCGGCTACTGCAGGGCAGATCTTTACTACCTGTCAACTCGGCAGTTCGACAATAATATTGGCCTTTACCTCAGTGGCACGAACTTCGACATCAGCTACTTGCAAACTCTCCGCCTGTCATATGCCAATTCATCCGCCTATGTCGATTAGATCAAGTACCAATCATACGCTGAACTCCTCGCCATCGGCGCCACCAAGAACAGCGACTGTCCACTCTCTTTCCTCTCGATCCACCAGTCCCCGACAGGTTTCCAGAAGATGTACCTTGTCCGTTATCAATGTCAGCCCGTAGGTGGTTTCAGTGTCCCGCACGGCGCCGCGCCTCAAGGTGCAAGCACCACAGGCTTTTCACTCAGTCCCCAGGGTGCACTGTTGCATCATGAGTTCAATAGCTGTTATGCTTGCCAGAACGACGGCTTGAGCCCATTGAATTCATATCAGATATATTGGCATGCTACGGGAAGCCCTGTGGGATAAAATTGTCAGAGACCAGTTGAATCCAAGCCGGAGGTGGTTGTTCGAGGTATCAGAGCAGATGACCCCAGCTGGAATGAGACAGTGACAGCGCATGTGATGTGAAGCAGGAGACGCGGCGGCCTCTAGACTGGAATGAATCGAGGATAGATTTCTGCAGTTGCTATTATGGCGTGCCCGATTTGGTCGTCTCAGGAGGTCCAGCCTTGCGTCCTAACATTGGTGTTGCAAGCGGCTAAATGTCTCAATCCGGGTCTCGAACTGAACTGGAATCGCTCAGCCATCGGTGCTGAGATGAATTCGTACCCTACGTCAGCGGCATCTCCGCTTTACTGTGTTGCTCGACTTCCAGGTACCTTTCATTCTCTCGCTGAACCTCGCGTTCTCGCTTACCTGTATCTAGGTAGGGTTCTCCTACCCAGGTTCTAACAAAATTTAAGAACAGTAGCGTCCCGAATCGCGCTCACGTCGCATCTTCCGGTAATCGCAATCAGAAACGCAGCATTCTTGATCAGAACAGACGCCAGTAGCGGTAATAAACATCATTCTTGTCCATCTCCAAGGTCGGAAGTTGGTGAAACCGCGATGACAGAGATGAATCAACTGTTCCCTTCTCGCCAAGGCCGTCGTCGGGGCTGCTCCGAGGCGCCGGGATTGAACTTCCTCTCCTGGCGGCTCAGTTCTTCCCTCCTCGCCCACATCGTCTCCGCACCTTCAGCTTCAGAAAGCGAAACGTAACCCGGCCGTGGACGCGAGATGGAGAAATCCTGGGAGGGTGGACCCGTGCTTTAAAGACCCGCTGTCGACTTCGGGTTTCATTGCCTCTTCTTGAACATTCTCTGTTTCAATTCCATAGCTGCTCTGTTTATGAGCGCTGTCTGGGATGCGCACGAGAACTGGATGGTCAGTACATAGATCTCTCTATTGCAATCTGTTGATACTGACTATGAGGTCTTGCATAGCCAGCCATGTCGTGACCGACATATCAAGTGTAAAGTCTATGCATCCGCATTGTCAGTTTGATCTCTCACAAGTTCCCAGGCATAAAAGTCGCCGGTTCTCGGAAATGCCAGAAATGCATAGAAGCTGGACGGGAATGTCTCTTGGGCTCGCCATTACACTTTCGACCTGTCAAGTCTGTCCGGCTGAAGAGCGTAGATGGGCGCAGAGTCAAACATGACTTGAGGCATACTCCTCGCCAGGTTTGGGTGGAGCTCCCATCAGATGGTACGTTTTTCCGCTTGCAATCATTCACTTGGTTGATGTGGTGAGATACACACAGTCCGATTTGTTTCTCCTAACCACGAAATCGACAGCTCTCAAGACCTCGGTCTTGAGGTTGGACGGGCCCAATGTTCATCTTCTCCAGTTCCTGCTCTCACGGGTGAGGCTCGAGAGGATTTCAATGTTGAGCACGATCCTGCTTCGGCGGTTACTCACGACTGGAGTTCGCCACATAAGTCATCCTTGCCCCAAACGCCCCTGCAGGCCACTCTTCCACACAAAAGTCCAGGCTCACACTTTTCGTCTCGAACCCATGCCTCTATTGGGCTATCGCCAGAGCATTCTGCCGAGAGGCAATCTTTACAACACCTCTCGTCCCCTGTTCTGTTGAACGCAGTTGCCAGCATGTCCTCCCCAAAGTATGGACTCGGACCATGCTGGCCATTCAAGAACCAGCACGAAGCGCGCCTCTTACACCACTACATTGTCCACCTGTCACTCCAGGTTATTCTCCCAAAAACATCCTAGGATTCCTTACTATCTTAACTAACACCGTGTAGTTCGACTCTTGCGATAAACAGCGGCACTTTGGGAAAGAGATACCAAAAAGGGCCGCGCATTATCCTGTCATCAAGAATGCGATCTTCGCCGTGGCCTCACGGCAGATGAGCCTCCTAGCAGGGACTGATGACGACGTATCTCCTCATTATGTGAGCGAATGTCTTCGGATCCTGATTAAGGCTTTGGAAGACCCCATGGGCCATTTTGATGAGAACCTGCTGGCTGCCGTCATTCTCCTGAGAACTCATGAGGAGATGTCCGGTACGTTTTGCTGCGCCAGATTTTGCTTGATAGAGATGAGAGGCTCAAAGTTCAAATCTAGAAAACGATGAACGACGCCACCTGTTCGGCACAACGCGGATCTTAAACTCGATAGCCTCCTTCGCAGCCGACGGCGGGCTCCGTGAGTCTGCTAGCTGGGTGTCGCTCAGACAGCACATCTACATCTCCCTCACCTCCCAGCACCCACTCACTATCAACCTCACTAACTACCGCCATTCGAGCGTCTTTCATATCTCCGATGACGAATCCTGGGCGAATCGGATTATCTTCATCTTTGCACGAATACTTACCTATGTGTTTGGTGATGACAGCAGCCAGTTGTCCCTGGAGAAGTGGGCTGAGTTGGACGCCGAAGTCGCCGCCTGGGAGGTGTCTAAGCCGTGGCACTTTACACCTCTGTTCATCGAGAGCCCCGGAGTCTCTGCACTGGAGTCGAACCGGAGTCCATGGCCAGAGCTCTATGTGTGCAATCCGGCACAGGGTACGTGCCACAGTTACCTTCATTCCGCCGGTTTGGGTTTCTGATCAATGCCCTTCAGTGGTAGGACTTCAGCATTACTATTTTGCCAAGATTGTCCTAGCCATTTATGACCCTCGGCTCTCAAAGTTGAGTTTTGGATCATTGCGTTTGAGAAGGGACTCTGAAGTATGGCTTTTTTGTTTTTCTCTGTCCACCCTCTCCAGTAATGGACACTACCTGACCCCGGCTGACGCGTTCTCCGCTCGCAGTCCGTGGTCCGCGAGTGTCTTCGAATGGTGGTCGGTCTAGCGGTCAGCAATGACCATGTTCAGACCGCAATGTTCCAGGGGTCCCATATTCTTTCTGCATGTAAGTTGTTCCCTCTCCAGGACTTCATGAGCGCTGGCCCTCATCGGAACACAGGCGGCGTGTATCTGAACAATCGAGAGGAGCAGGAAGCCGCTGTCAGCTTCTTGGAACAGATGACCCGGCGCATGGGTTGGCAGACTACACACATCATTCGCGACCTCAAGGAACAGTGGCAAATCTGAACACAAAGGCTGGTAAGCATGACAAACTTGACAATTGGAAATTTGCTATATCCTCGGCATCCTCCAAAAGCAAGTAGTATGCTCGAATGAGGTTTTCTCAACCCCAAACGTCTTCCTTCCATTTGCCCGTCCTCTTGAGCCCTTCAGTCCAGCTCTTAACCTCGGAATCAGTCCATCCCTTGACCTCCCTCATCGTCTCACCTAAGCTAAACCCAACTTCTCTTGCCATCGAAGCACGGCCACAAATATAGAAGCTCGCGCTTTTCTCCTCAATCAGGCTGATTACTTCCCTGCCGTATTCTCGTACACGCTGCTGCACGTATACTTTGTCTTGTCCCTGCATTCGCGAAAAGCCTGTGACGATCTTGAATACCTCTTTTCCAACAGTAGCTTGAGCTTGCTCCAGCTCTTCACGATAGATAAAATCCTCTTGCGGCCGACGACAGCCGAAAAACAGAATCATCTGGCCGATCGGTTTTCCAATGGCGTGCAGTTTTGCACGTTCAGCGATGAAAGCCCGGAACGGGGCTATTCCCGTCCCCGCCGCAACCATAACAATAGGACAGCTGGACTGGATGGGAAGTTTGAACTTGCTTTTACGGACGTGGGCGAAGAGTTTGGTGCCTTGGAGAAGGTTGGAGGGCCCGGAAAGGTCGTATTGCTGGCGAATAGCCTTCCTAGTCTGCATTTCCCCAGCGACCAACGTAGGATGTGACTGCGAGAGGGTAAGGAGATAATTGGAAGTGACACCATAGATCTTCTCTTCACGGTTATCAGGTAAATAGTCTACTGCGACCAGGGCAGTAATAGCGGCCCTTCGAGGACTGAGGACGCTACTTGATGAGATCGAGTAATAGCGTGGCTGCATCAGAGGCAAAGCCTCTATCAAGTAAGACAGAGGCAGCTTGACCCATGGTTCGTCTGGGCTGGTGAGCCTGAGGAGACGACCAAATGTCAGGTGATTCTTCCTGAGATACGACAAGTAGAAGTCCTTGTCTTGGCCGAGTTTGAGAACGCGCGATCTTGCGTCGGGCGTCGGGGCAAACGCTGCAAATCCCTGAATAGTGCTCCGTGAAACCGGGGCGCATATCTCAAGATATCGGTGGAAGAGAGCGCGAATTGTGGTAGGGTTTGGAATTTGGAGCTTGGTCCCAGCGTCGACGGATTTGAGGCTTATGGGAGTGTCTTGACGATCATGGAGTTGAAGGACCGTAAGAAGGATTTCCACTTCTGAATCCGGGTTTGTAGGCCAGATGGCAAGATGATCGCCTGTTTTGTAGTGGATCTCTGGGTGTTCCGCCAGGTCGAGCTCCATGTGGACGCAATTTCTCTTGGAAGATTGGAAAAGTTCTCGTGGATTTGTGATTGACAACGGTCGAATGGGTGAGCACGATGCAGCGGCTTTGGGATTGTCTCTGGAATGGTTGGGTTCGCCGTGATGGAGGTCGATTGGGGTCAGAGAGTCGTCTTCGGTGACAACAATCGTAGGTTGATACTCGACGACTTGTTCTTCCATGCCCAGTGTTTTCCGGAAGACGCCAAAGAGATCGTCTTTCCATGAAAGGAAGTCCTCGTCGGTCGAACATTCTGCATCATCTGCTTTGCCCACCGGCAGAAGGAGATTCGCACTCTTTCTGTTTAGTGCTTGGACCACAACGTCAACCACGCGGTTGTAGTACTTGTAGTTGCTGTTTCCGAGACCAAAGGCAGCGTACTGCAAATTCGGGAGAGTATCCTGGAGTCCATGATTGATCCAGTCCCAAAAGCCATTGGCGTTGTCGCTGGGATCACCCTCGCCGTAGGTTGAGAGGATGAAGATTGCCAATTGCCCATCAGATAGTTGAGTGATTGACTCCGGATCGTAGTCCGAAAGATCGGCAGAGAGAGCACCGAGCCCGAACCGCGATTGTACCTCTTTTGCAAGCTGATTGGCGAAGCGTTCTGCTGTTCCGGATTGAGAGCCCCAGAAGATCACGGCTTTCTTGTGGGCCTCGGATAGTCTCTTTGCAATATTGCGCTGGGCTTGGGCTTGGGCTTGCGAGCTTGCAACCCCGTCGCGCTGTTGAGGCCGTTCAAAGTAAATGTGATAGTAAGGATCTGGCTTGTCCCACAACGCCCCTCTAGTCAGGTATCCCGTGACAATGACGGCCGCAATGGCCAAAGCCACATAATCTGCGATCGATGTGGGCTGGAGGCTTTGAGCAACGAGTCCGATGAGCTGCGGAATCGGCGGGATTTCGAAGGCCTGGGAAGCCATGGCGAAGGTTGCGAGTGGGAATTCACTGTCATGTTGGCCAAAGGGCGGAGGGCCATTTAGATATAAATGGATTCGTGAGCCTCATCAGAGATATCTGAGGAAAGATGAAGGCGGAGCAAAATTGCCTGGCAGGCAGGGTGGAATAGGTGAGCAGCGGCGTCCGTGCTACATCTGGCTGTATCTGGAGACTCGACAGAATTGGGCAGCCCGTTCCATGGCCATAGAGAGAAGTCTTGATTGGACAAGTGTCACCGAATGCCTGATGATTGAGTTTGCTTAGGCACAGTTTGATCCGGCGAAAAATTTCCTCTTGAGATGTTGATGTGGCGGGAGTAAAGCGACCGCAGGAACCGAAGGAGCCGCAGGCGAGTTCGACGATCATCAATTCCCCATCATTTCTCCGGCATCCACCGTCGACGACTTAGCCTCGGCGAAAGATTTCCATTCTAAGATTTTCCAGAATTTCGCTAGAACTTCTCTTCTCCGTCTTGACACGGAATGGACCTTATTCGAAAGCGCACCGTGCTGGAGATGGCCGGGCACGCGGTGGTCGACCAGAAGAAGATAAATATGAAGAAGCAAGGCGCGTTGCTGGATGTTGATGTCGCGGATGGTCCTGGTTGATTTGACTTGCTTCAACTTCCATACACTATCGTCTCTTCCTCAGAAAGCTCCAGTATGTACACGATGCCCGCCGCCCCTTACGCAGTCCTCCTGGGGACTTGCTGCGTCCTTTATTTCCTGGTCTATCCAGCAATCGTCTACTTTCGAGACCCCAAAGGTGAGCCAGTAATCACATCTGGATTTGGAGCCCGTTGCCAACTTACAGAGGACTTCGAAAATTTCCAACCATGACCCCGCTGTCCGGCATCTCATCTGTGCCATTCATGTTGCTGGCACACACCGGTGCTCGATCAGCTCGCTTGGTCGAACTCCACAAGAAGCACCCTATCATCCGCACTGGGCCAACTACATTGTCTTATTCGGACCCTCGAGCAATCAAGGATATCTACGGGCACAACACAAAGTGCACGAAGGATGGCTCCTATATCATCACTGCTGGCTCGCACTTCCACCTCGCCGACGTCATCGACAAGCCAGATCACGCGAGGAAACGCAAGGTTCTTTCGTCGGCGTACGCCTTGAAGAACTTGGAAGGCTGGGAACACAAGGTTGCAGACAAGACAGCCCGCATGATTGCACATTTCGACAAGTGCTGTACAGCTCCATTGAAACCCGGAAGACTCCCGGAGCCACATGAGTTGAATGTGGATTACCGAGAGTGGACTAATTACTTTACATTGGATGCTATCGCCGACATTGGCCTGTCGGAAAGACTAGGGTTTCTCGACAATGGCCACGACCGAGTCATCGGCCGCAGAACGGATGGTACCAAATACCAGTGTAATTTCCGGGAGTGCCTATATCAAAATGCTCGAAAGCAATCACTCCTGATCTGGCCTTACAAGTGGTATCCATTGATCAACAAGCTGTCCAACATGATTCCCTTCTATGGGCGTATGGGGAAGCTTGCTAGGGACTGGGACGGGATTCCTCTCGAGCTTGCCCATCGCCGACTGGAGAGATATCGCCGGGGAGAGAAGCTAGACGACTTCTTCCAGGCACTGATGGAGGACAAAAACGGACACCCCAACAACCTCGAATGGGGCGAGATTGTGGCCGAAGTGAGTATCATGATGAACGCAGGAAGTGCCACAACTGCAATTGCAATGGCAAATGTCCTGTATCAACTGCTTAAGAATCCTGGAGTGATGAAAAAGCTGGTGGAAGAGCTTGATGCTGCACTCGACGACGAGGACATGCAAGCCGTGGTTCCTTACGATCGGGTGAAGCATCTGCCGTACCTGAGAGCTTGTTTGGACGAGTCGTTGCGACTATTTCCACCAACTCCCCACGCACTTCCCCGTGAGACTCCCCCGGAAGGTCTGAGCATCTTGGACGACTATATTCCTGGCGGGGTCTCGGTCGGCATGTCGGCCCTTGTCGCTCACAGAAATGAAGAACATTTCCCTCAGGCCGACAAGTACATCCCTGAAAGGTGGCTCGGCGAAGAAGGCAAGAATCTTCAACCCTACTTCCTTGCCTTCTCTGCCGGTGCGCGGGGATGCATTGGTCGCAACATCTCTTACTTGGAGCAAACAGTGGTATTGGCTTCAATGCTCCGTAGATACGAGTTTGCACTACCTCATATACATTGGGAGATCGAGAGGCTGGAGACCATGAACTGGCTGTTAGGGGAGATGCCCGTCAAGATCTGGAGGCGAGAGCCGAAATCTACCTGACGAATTTTGCAGCGAATTACACTGTCCCATAGACCATTTTGTATCTATTGAAGGATAATGGAAAGATTGAGAGTCGTCCATCAGGCGAAAGACGTGCTCTTACTGTCCGAGTGTCATCCCTCATCCTTAGTTATTCGCGCAAACATGGCCATGTTAATCCCGCATCGTGCTGAAGGAGCCCAGATTCTCTTCGAACAGTCTACCGACTGTATTACCAAGGCAATGTATCTCAGAGAAACGCAGACAGAATTTCTACAAATTCCGCGGAGAGCCGCAGGATTGGGACGCCAAACTTATTGCGAACCAATATTCTCATACCCATCCATAGCGGCCATTACAGGACCTACCGATGGTCTAGAGTGAAAAGAGAGCAAGACAAGGCCTTGCCGGAGGTGGCCTTCCGATGGGCAGATGTCGATGCCGACAAGCTGTGCTGGAAGGCAAAGTCTTGGGAAAGGATTTCCCATCCCCTCATCTCAACAGAGCCATCTTTCTCCGTGTTGTAGTGCGCGGCGAATTCCGGCTGGGGTATAGACTGGCTTGACCATCTGCCGCCTCCACCCCACGGGGTTTTTAGGAACCATCTTTCTCCGCCAGCGTGCCTTGGGTGCTCGCTGGTGGTGCGGCCACTGTGGACCATAACGCCGGCGTTCAGACGAGGATCATAATAGTTTCGAGCCGTGAGAACTATGGAGACAAAAAGTATTAAAGGATCACAAATTCTCTCCAAGAGACATGTCTCCCCGTCGACTCAACGATCACATATCGTGAGGCCGGTTCTCCAAAACTCTATCTCTGATCTTCGCCTCTCTGTCTCTTCCTGTACCAGACCAATTCTCCTGTTTCCAGCATGTTCGAAAAGTCGGTCGAGAAATATGCTGCCGACCAAGTCGAGGCGGTCGATCGCAGGAAGAGCACTTCGGAAGAAGTCACCGAACTCAGCGGCATCGAGGCAACTGCAGCGTCCAAAGCGGCATGGCTATTCTCCATTACCGTCTCGGTGGGAGGTTTCCTGTTCGGTATGTCCCTACGTGATCGTTTCGCGAGACATCATTTCACACTAACACCCGATCCAGGATACGACACTGGGTACATCTCCTCGGTCCTCGTTTCAATTGGAAAGGCGCTCGGCCATGAACTGAGCTCGAATGAGCAAGAACTCGTCACGTCCTTGACCAGTGGAGGAGCCCTGGTGGGAGCTGTGTTTGCTGGCCTCATAGCTGACCGTTTCGGCCGCAAGTGGCCCATCTGGAGTGCCTGTCTGCTCTTCGTGATTGGGACTGTCCTCCAGACCTGCGCCTATCATCTGGTCCAGTTCGCAGTTGGCCGTTTTGTAGTTGGCCTGGGGGTCGGTTCCGCGGCAATGGTTTGCCCGCTTTACAGTAAGTTTTCAGACGTACAGATTGCACAATGCTAACCGTTGAGTAGTCGGCGAACTGGCACCTGCCAAATATCGAGGCCGAATGATCGCCTTCAACAACATGAGCGTCACCTTTGGCCAACTAGTTGCTTCTGCTATCGGAGCAGGCTTTCAACATGTCCATGGTGGGGGTTGGCGAGCAACTGTTGCCATTGGAGCCGCACCTCCCATTGCACTTGCTGGGCTGCTTCTGCTGTGCCCAGAGTCGCCCCGCCAGTTAGTCTCCCATAGAAAACATGAGGCTGCAGAGGGCGTCTTACTGCAAATTTATCCCACCTCCACTAGCGACCAACGGCAAGCCAAGATCAAATCCATCGAATTGTCGCTCCAGGAAGCAACCATGGCCATGTCCGAGGAGTCGCTCTGGTTAACGCTCAAGCGTATCTTCACCACTCCAGCAACTGGGCGCGCTGTCCTTACCGCTTGCATTGTTATGGCTATTAGCCAATTAGGTGGCTTCAACACTGTAAGTGCTCCTCAGGTGCTGCCAGAGAAGTAATCCATTCCTGACTCTAGTAAATCACAGCTCATGTACTATGCTGCCACGCTTTTCAAGATCGTGGGTTTTACTAATGCCACGGCGGTCGCCATCACCGTCTCTGGCACCAACTTCGTCTTCTCGATTGTCAATCTCGTTCTTGTCGACAAGTTTGGCCGCCGGGCGCTCCTTACCGTCACTGTTCTTGGTATGTCGATCTGCATGATGATTGCCGCCGTCTCATTCCACTACATCCCCATCAACAAGGACCTAGTTGTGGAATCCGACCATATCGGTTGGCCGGCGACTCTCGTGCTCGTTGCCATCATCGTATACGTGGCGTGCTTTTCGTCTGGAGTGGCTACGATCGCGTGGATCGGGACTGAGTTGATTCCTCTCGAAGTCCGAGCTATTGGAACCATGCTGGTAAGTTCTTGCTCTGTCCAATCGTCTGCACTGCATCGAGCGGCTGATAGCCTGGGGCTCAGAATACCGTGACATGCTGGAGCACCAACATCATCATTGCTTCAACCTTCCTTTCCATCATGAAAAGCGCGAGACCGGTTGGAACCTTCGGCTTGTATTCAGCAATATGTTTCGTGGGCTGGCTGTTCATTGTTTTCTGCTACCCAGAGTGCAAGGGCATGCCACTGGAGACGGTCCGGGAGGTCTTCAAGACTGGATTTGGCGTCAGGTATTCAAAGCGGTGGCAGAGGGAACACAAGCATCTCGCCAAGGTCAGCACACATACTCCCTTCGGCCATTAGCTGGGTCTGGACTCGGTAGGTCTATAAAATCATGACGGATGAGGGCGCGTGCTGAGTGTTATTACGAAAGAGATGCGGTGCAGGAAGGTCGCCACTAGCCTAATTAAGTTAGAGAGGATGAGTCTTGTCACTACGACGACCTGTCTCGCTGTTTAGTTGTCACCTTTCGGAACCCATCGGTGTTAATACTTCGGATACCGAGTCGTGGGTACCAGCTAGCCCCTCTATTATCCAAGCTAATGGGACTTACGCAGGGTTTCACACGCAGAGAGGCCATGAATGCGTTCATCCGTCTATAATTGACCTCCATGACGGCGTCATCTGTAATGAGTCCTTGCGAGGGTTCCCACGACTTCTCGTTCCCTCTAGTCTCCATCATGGCGCACGCTTTCTCGAACTAGTCCTTTGCTTCCATCATTTCGCCGATCTTCTTCATCAACACGCTCGTATCCGAGAATACTCTCAGCAATTCCACTTTCAGCTCCCCAGCATTGTCCTCACTCGCGGTGATCCACGTGGCAAAGTCCGTTGTCACCTCCTCCCCAGTCTTCAAGATGCTCGTTAGTTTCCCTGTGAACACCGTCTCCGTCTTCCCTTCCGGTGGAGAAGGCATCATGAAGACACGGTCGAGGTAATGTTGCAGATCCACAACGGGCCCATTGGTCGGGTGGATCATGTCGTCGTGCAGTTTTCTCAAGGCTACTTCGCCCGTGGAAGGCTCAGGGGCGACGTGCAGGGTACCATCTGGGTGGAAGGCGGTGACGTATTTGTAATCGGTCGAAGGCTGGTCCCAGGATTTGAGGATTGTGAGGATGACATTAAGAACGGGGTCGGGGATAGAAGAGGCATTGGCGAAGGTGTAGGGGTCGCGGTTGTACATTATGACTAGAGCACTGATGGTCTGAATGCGTTCGTGGATCGGTCTGAAGCGATTAGGGATACTGCTTTTGTTAAGGAGTTTGAGTAGAGGTTGACAACGACCAAGGGGTCGATGTCGTTCACTTTAAAGCATTTCGACCTTGGAAGTTGGCCTGAACTTCTCCTCATCTCGCTTAAAAAGCGCAACGCCCGACCAATACTAGAGGCGTCCGTCTTGGTCAGGCGCGGTGTGACTTTGCATTGGACGTACAGGGCCCTCGGCAGACTGGAGATGCCACACACAATGTGTAGCTGACTCTTCTACCGCAAGACCGTTGTCGATCTGAGGCTGAGCTGAATGTTCAATTTACCTCAGCTAAGTTGCGGGCTTGAACAATTTGGAATGCTTTGTCCAGCCTTGTTGACATCGAGAAGTCCGAACTGAATGCCTAAGGAACCATATTCATTTATATTCATTTACTCTGCCCCTCAGAGCCCGAAGCAAAAGACGAAATAGCACAGTCAGACCAAACAGTCATCACAGCAAACCTAAAGTCGTCTCGCTGTCAGATTGGGGTGGACCTTCACTCATAAGCAGTATTTCATTTACCTTTGGGGATAGTGCTGCTCTGTCCTTGATCTAAACTACTGGCAATATGACAGTGGCGGCGTCGGCATCATCGAGAAACTCTCAAGGTACACATTTCCAGGGGAGTGGTTGCGGTTGGGACCGCGAGAGGCAGGACGACAAGGGCGACAACCTAGGAAACCAGATGAGCACATGCCAGGAATTGCACCACTCCATCTCGGGAAGCACATCCTCGGCATGCTGGAGCACGTACGAAGATTATCGGTCGAGGAAACCCCGCCGCTTAGCAAGATTTTATTAATATACGAGTTCCAGGCGTGGCTGGATTGGACGAACAAACACGGGAAAGGCCAAGTCACGGCCTCATGACCACCTCGACGCTTGTTGCTTTTACTAACCCGCTTGGTACGATGAGCGCATCCTCCGAGTTTGGTCTTCATTCTCCTCTCCAGCCCTCACAGTGAACTCAGACACAGAGTCCATGTCGGGAAAGGGTTCCGTGGCAGGTCAGGGGGAGAGGGGCAGCTCTGGCAGTCTTAGTTTAGGCAGGACAAGTTCTTGAACCCCTCGGTGGCTGGAGGGTGCTAAAATGGGTTACCAAGAGAGACTCGAATAGTTCGAATAGATTGGAAACCGTGTCAAGCGAGATAAGAGGAAGGGGAGAAGGAGAGGGGGAAAAAAGACAAATCATGTCGGTATCGTGTCTATAGCCATTCACACGACTCATCCTTCGTTTCATCATCACCGCCCTGACATCGAGATAAACGCTTGCCAGCTCGGAGCCCTAACATTACTGTCGCACCATGTTCACACCTTCTCGACATTGACTGAACGCCTCTTCTCCATCGCTTCAAATGTCTCAATATCATTGATATCTCCGATGATGGT